GGGGGGGGGGGGGGGGGGGGGCAAGGGGGGGGAGGGGAATTAAGAGGGGTTTGAGCCCATTTTTATGAAAAGATGAATTTTAGAATAGTAAATTGGTGAAAAAAATGTGGTTGAAAATTTTTTTTGATTTACGTGTAATATTTTAATGAATAATGTGTGATTAAAAAGAAAAAAGAGAAAAATGTATTTTGAGAAGAATGGAATCAAACAAGGTTTAAAAGGTATGCCAAGCGCTTATAGGGAGGGAGAGGAAAATTAAGGTCCGCCAAGTGCATTCACATATGATTACGTATGATGACACGTCGAGCAAGCTAACATAATTGACCGAAAATTGAGTAAGAAAAGCTAATGAATTATTTAATATTTTATTTAAACCGAGTTTTTTTTGTGGACTCTAGCTCGAGTTTGACTTGTTCAAAATAAATTTTTTTATTGAGTCCAATGTATCATTTAATTTGAGCTTCAAATTGAGCGTAATATTAATAGAATACTTCTTGCTTCTTTAATAATTAATTATTTGATCTAAATAAATTAGGATATTGAACTTACTTATCTTTACTTGGTCCCTCGACATCCCAAATGTATCAAGAGGTCCACAAGCAAATGGTTCGCATCTAATGATCGTTCTCATGACTAAATAATCTTGACTCGTCGTGTTTTTACATATGAATATATATTTCTTATTGTTTGCAATCAAATCTCTAAACTTTGTATTTGTTGCATTTAGAATCAAATCTCGAGTTTAAGCTCGTAAAATTCATCACTGTTATTACAAGATATTCTTGGAAAATTCTTAGGACTTCAAATTATGATTCTTGAAACTTTGTCTTAAATTTTCATTTTAGTCATTAACCCTTCTAGAATTTGTTGGATTACCTAAACTCAACTTTTCACAAAATAATAATAATAATAATAATAATAATAATAATAATAATAATAATAATAATAATAATAATAATAATAATAAAATTGTACACGAAATACATGATTTTTAAATGTTACTATTTGCACTCTATAATATTTTCTCAATTAATGGAACACTTTTCCTAATAATCGCTTAAGTCCCTAAACTTTATAAAAGTATGTTAATAGATCCAAATATTTCTTAAGCTTCCAGATATGCTGCTCGTTCTATTTAATAGAATCCATCCTGTTCGATCCTCTAGTTTTATATTTTTTTTTTTACACATTTTGAAATAGCGATTTCATGGAGAATGTATGGTTAAAAAAAAGGAAAAGTTTTGATTTATTTTCCTATTCGTGATTTTTTTTTTAACACGTTTTGACTTCATGAAAAGCGCAAATTAATATATTTATTTTCCTATTCGTCTTTCTTAATTTTAATTTACTTAAAACAAATTGTTGTAGTTTAAAGGAGTTCATTTTTTATCCGGAAATTTCTCCCCAGATTCATAATTTATGTGAAAGAATTGATTTCTCATTTAGAAACTAAAAAAACAAGTAATTAGAAATATACTGTAAAAAAATTTGTAGTAATTGAAAAGGAACCAAAAGTTTTATCAAACCCTTCAATATGCACATAAATCCTCGATTTTAAAATCAAAGAGAAAATTAGAAGTGAAAGCATACTTTAATCAATAGATGTGATTGGTTGAATGAGTTATGATCTTTCAATTGATATGTAATTTCTTGAAAATTCTTCTTTGTTGATGGGGACGCAGGGAGATGAAAAAATCACGTACAATTGAGGGCCATGACCCATGATAAATAATTATATATGGCAGTTATTATCTTTTAGTTATTTTAAATTGGTAATTCATCAATTTAAAATAATCGTTCTGATCTCTACACTTTATTTCCATAACATTTAATATCCATTAGTTCAAAATTAAAATTAATGGATCTCTTTATTAATTAAATTTTAAAATAGCGCCACATACACACACACATAAATACACACACATATGTAAGTGTGTGGGGCCCATACATTGGATTTTTTCCTCAAAAGTAACTAGAAGGAAAATGAACTTAAACTTTTGAAGCCGACACGATTCCATTTTAGTGATATGATAATGATATACTTTAAACTATTGTAAGTATCAAAATTGTGGGGTAGGTCTTGTTTTCTATTTGTTAATTCATTTCTTGGTTTACATGACTTATTCCGGCAGATAAAGCACCTACCAAAAGCTCTGCTTGTCAATCGAGTACTAAACAGTTTAAACTCAGAAACCACTTTCACTGCAAATGGATAGATCCTCGATCATTTTTCCGGCAAAAGCGATGTCATATTTGGCTGCTATTTTCTTACGTTGTGTGTTTGCAGGTTTGTTTACAATTGCAAAGCGCGCTCTGAACCTGGGAATGAACCCTGACACCTTTACTGTCTACAGGAATGTCATTGCAGCCATTGTCTTTGGCCCTCTCGCCTTAGTATTCGAAAGGTCGGCCGCTCTCTCTCTCTCTCTCTCTCTCTCTCTCTCTTTGAGAATTAGAAAACGTATATCAACCAAAAAATTTAATAATTTTGACAGGAATACAAGGCCAAGGATGACGCTCACCATCGTCTGCAACATCTTTCTACTTGGCTTATTTGGGTAAATTTTTATGATTGGATAGTGCTCTTTGGTTACCGATTCTTGATTTCTGTATACATCTTATTACACATACATATAACACATATCTGCATAAAAATATCTTTTTGTTGCAGGGTTCTTGATCAAAACTTGTACTATGCTGGAATGAAACATACAACAGCAACTTTTGCAACAACTATCTACAATTTTCTTCCTGTCATAAACTTTCTGTTGGCTTGTCTGTTGAGGTGCCCTTTTTTTTTTCCCCTAATTTAAATATATACCATGAGAAAATACTAATACGTGCATGTATTTATGTATTGCTATTTTTGCAGGCTTGAGAAGGTAAAATTTAGAAGCTCACATGGCCAGGCAAAGGTTTTTGGAACTTTGGTCAGTGCTGGTGGAGTCATGGTAATGACATTTATCAAAGGACCTGTTATCGGACTGCCATGGACCAAACACAATCCCACCAGTGCTGCAAATTATCCCCAAACTTCCGTTAGAGGCCCCCTCATGATCTTGGGGGCTTGTTTTTTTTCGGCCAGTTTTAACATTCTTCAGGTACGTATTATAGTTTTCCTTTTGTCCGCTATATTATTTTTCTTAAATGAATAAAATGCGTCATTTTTTTTATTTTTATTTTTTATCTAGGTTAGTCTAAATCCAATTTCTACTGATAGTTATAATAAAATGAATAGTCTTTTTTTGAAGATTGTGTGGTTGAAAAGTTTTCGATTTAACTGTAATATTATTTTATTGAAGATTGTGTGGTTGAAAGTAGAAGAGAAAAAAAATTAAATTAAATTAAAAAATTTTAAAGGGGGCCAAACGGGGCTCAAAAAGAGAGAGAATAAAAAATGTCAAATGGATAGTTTTTGTTGTTGGGTAATTATTTAAGTGCACCACATTATATTCATACCATAATTAAAACATAGTTTTAATAAATATACTACAATAAATTTACAATAATATTCCTAATTTAATAAAAATAATAAAAAAGGAATTATGGTTTAATACATCACAACTAAACTTCGTCTTTTTCTGTTCTTTTCAGACATTTCTTTTCAATTTTTTTTTTTTTTTTGTTTGTCAAATTTCTTTGTAGGCCAGACCGTCCTCAAATATATAAACTATGTGTTTCTTTATTTATCTTTTTCTTAATTTTTAATTTAGAAGATAGCAAAATGTTGCAGCTCAGAAAAAAGTTAATCAAATGGGTAATAAAATTTGTACTGATCAAAAATTAGTAGAAAAATTTAAATAGACAGAGAATATTATCTTAGACAAAAGAATTGTTGATTTTTTTTTTCCATAAGGGTTAAATTTAGATTTAAATTACGAATATTTAGCTAAGCTAAATGCAGAATAATGAGTAGGTTAAAGCTTGTTCCTACGCTATATCGACCTGTGATTGTCTGACGATAAAATTTGAGTTTTTTAAAGCAATTCCAAACATGACCTACTTTGAGCACGTGATACAACTTCTGTTCTGTAAATCTATGCATTGGTGTGCGTGGGACTTTATTCTTTTGGGGGAATACTTGTTACAATGGTTGGAGGGAAAGTTGCATTTACTTGTTGAATTTTATCACCCCCTTATCTTTTTTTGATCCCTCATTTGGCATTTACCAGCAAATTGTTATTGTATCCTGCAAAAGTAGACTCGAAATGCTTTCAGTCCACATTCGTAAATAATCATCCAAACCCCAACCCACAATGGCATGTTAGAAATGACATTAATTTTTAACATTATTATTTATATTTATGAGTTTTCAAGAATCAAGAAAATATTTAGAGATTTGATAATGTGGAGGACGAGGTGGGATCACCAGGGGCAGGTTAGGCTCCACGATGGCCACCACCAACACCTGAGCGCACACACCAGGCCCTCTGGACGCCAGACCCATGTTTGTGGATAGGTGCCCTTGACTATTAGGCATTGTTCTTTTTTTCTTTTTTTTTTCCTGATTTTTTATGTATTTTCACCCCAATTTGATTATTTAACTTATAATATATAAATTCGTGACTCTTGTAAAGGATAATAACTCTTGGGAAGTGTTGTTTAACAATTTATAATTGAAGATAAATTAAGAAAACATCAAAGTTTTTAAAGAATTTATGGATGCAGGCAAAAACATTGGAGTCATACCCAGCTTTACTCTCCCTCACGGCTATGATATGTGCGGCGATGGGTGTCGAAGGCTTTATAGCGTCTGTTGTGCTCGAGAAGGGCATTAATTTTGCAGTTTGGTCGATACATTGGGATATTAAACTATTAGCTTATGTCTACGGAGTAAGATATTTGATTTATGAAGCTTTGAATATTTAGCATATGTTTGGCCCTATTATCTGAACTCATTTCAAATTTTTATCAACTTTTATCAAAATCTAATAAAAAATTGACTTTTAGCTAATCCAAACTGGGCTTAATCCATATGGGAGAACCTAACTTGCATACATGGTTTCGTGCAGGGAATCCTGTGTTCAGGACTTGGTAATTATATCTCACTACATATATTACGAGAAAAAGGACCAGTGTTTCTAACATCATTTAATCCTCTAACCATGTTGATTGTTGCTGGTATGAGCAGTTTCATTTTAGCAGAGCAATTGGAATTGGGAAAGTAAAATTTCTTGTCTCAGTCTCAATACTACTGTTTCACTTGCGGAATTATTTCTTTTTCTTGATTCTATACATTGGCATTGCAGGGTTGTAGGAGGATTTGTTATAGTCGTTGGGCTGTACCTGGTGCTATGGGGTAAAACCAAAGATGATCATAATAGCTCATCTACAGGGCTCACAGAAGAGAAACCGTCGATTCATCATCAAATTTATGCACTAGATTCACCTACTGTGAAGGCCTTATCAATTGATGGCTCCCAAGCAACAACTACAGAGATTGTTTAAGATTAATTCAATGGTGTATATCCTTATGGGAGGGACGATGGACATGTTTGGTACGAGCCAACTGTATAAGGTCTTTGTGCATTTAATTATCCCTATTTTTAACTTCGATTTCTAGTTTGGGTGGAGAGAGAGAAACTCTTGGAACCAAAACTAGTAATATATGGAATTCAAGATTTTGTAATAGCAAAAGGGTTCTTGGCAAAAGGCAATTCTTGGCTTTCTTTAAGATTTCATTTTAAAAATTAGGTATTTTTCCAAATTAATGAATTTAGAGTTGAGAGTTTCATTAATACTATATTAGGTAAGGGTTAATTATGTGAATGATTATTGAATTTTTCCAATTGTTACTAATTAATAACTGAACTTAAATATGTATCTCAATGTCACCGAACTTCGCCAAATGTTACAAATCCATAACTAATTTAATATATCAATGGAGCAACATTGTGGACTCAGGTGAGTTTTCAATTGAGAGATTTGGAGTCGAAGAACACAAATTGATCAGGTCAATTAAAGACTTCGAAGAAAATATATTAAGATTTAAAGTTTTATCTTGAAATATCAATATTTAAAAAAAAAAATGTTACACAAACTCTTCCGTATATAGGCCGTGTTTATTCAATCATCTGTGTGGCAACAAAATATTTTTGAATAGATTAAAAAAATCTTAAATTTATAAGGAATGGATTATTCTACTTGTACATTATGTTACAACAAGAATTATATAATGTATATGCGGCATCCTGTAATTGGTTGGAGGGAAAAAATCAATTTCCTCATGAAAGCTAAGTATCTCAGATTCCTGGGATCAAAGTTAAACAATCAAGTGTCTAGCATCAAACTTCTCAACCAAACCCAGGCATTGGAGTTGGATCATTACCTGAGCTTAACAAGTATCTTAACCTAATCTTAGAATGAAATTCATGATAGCTTAATTTACTTGCGAATGACCCAAATTTGCTCGACCCAGTAAGACCAATTCCAGCAACTGCATCAATCATTTTCATCCATCGGGATTTTGGAATGTTCCAAATGTTGAGGCAGATTGAGATCTACCTGAAATAAAATTTAGCAGCAATCTGGCTGTTGTATATCCACACATATGTTGTACTTATTCTCAGGTAAGATGATCGAATTGTTATTTTTTTGAAGAGTAAGTATAGATGAGTTTAATTCGAGATAAAGCAATTGAAAAGGCTTAATGGAAATGAATTTTTGAAAAAGTAAATTATATATCTGGAAACATGATATTCTTCAAGTAGATTTGAACGATTTCAACAATGGTACAGAGTAGCTTTCACATTCCTGTTCAAGAAGGCATCCGATTCAAAATTCAAGAAAATCCTAACTAAAACACAAGGCAATTGTCCAATTCCAATTATGAAAATTTTCATTCTAACCACAAAAATCATTCTAATCTAACTCCTAAGAGGAGAAGAAGGTATGAAAAGAATACTTACACAGAAATTCAAAAATCTTGTAGTAAATGGAAAAAAATCCATTCTGACACCAATCCAAAGGAAGCATCCCTCAAAATTGAACTACATCTATAATTGTGATGAAAGAATATAGCCCTCAGAAAAATAATTCGAAGGAAAGGTGAAAACAGCATTCAAATATGCTGAAACTCTCATCATCGTTAAGAACTCTGTTGAAGTAAACATGAAATGAGCGAAGAAAGAAAATTATATACTCTAGGAAAAGATATAGAGACAAATATATGGCTACAAATGAACACAATCTAATTAATTAGAAATATTTCAAATCTCTTAGTCTTATTCTTCCTAAATTTCTAATTTTCTCTTATCGCTTCACGGGGTTATTTGAAAGGAGAAAATCGATCAACTTATAATTTCAAGGGTGGAACTCCATTCTTGTATTCAAATGTTCTGATGCAACTTGTTACTGCATTAGTTTTCCATTTCTTGTGGAATAACGGACACAATCCAACCATGCGGTTCGATGCTTCTGATTCGCCTGCTCCTTCTTGTATCTTTTGCTCTAAAATGACAAAATTTCATGAGATATATTCCACGCAAGACTAAAGGATTACGTGTAACTTAAAAACTGGGCAGGCATCATAAGTTTCTTACGACTAATAATCCATTGGTTTCCTATCTGATATCACCATCAAATCTTGCACATGAAATAAATGAGCTAGAGAAAGTAAAAAGAGAATGGATATCAGCAAGCATTAACAGGCCTCATTTTCCCAGTCCATGATGATCATTTAATAGTGAATGAACTGCTATGATCTAGAAAGTTCAAAAGCATGGCATTCCAAGAGAGAAACCAATCTCTTTTGATTTACCACGTCACTTCTATCCTCAAGAAACCGTCATCTTAGTCTGTAATTTGGAGGCCTATTTATAAATAGTACTGCAATATTAAAGTAAAATTGATGTCTAAAAAAAAAAAAATCACATCACTCCTAAATCACCCCAATTACTAATGCTCATTCTATGCCACCAAACAATCCTCATCAAATCATTTCCCCGCCCAAGATATTGCTAAAAAAATTCCAATTTTCGTTTCTTGTAAATATTTATGCCCACCCAAAACTAAAGGCCGGTGATAAAATGTAAAAGAGAGTGAGAGCCCAAAAGCCCTAAACTAGAGATCAGTGGATAAAACTAAAAGAGAAAATCAGGTGTAGTACCCTAAAAAAGTTAAATATTTGATTAATGCCTTAAAACTATTATTACCGTATTAATTACGTTCAAAACCCAAAAGAAACCCCCCAAATCTGAAACCCTGAATCACAAATAAACCTCTGTTGCAGACACTTGAGTAGTCGCATTCTCTCGTTGAAATCAATCGCCTCCAACCGCAAGGAGAACGTGTACATGGCAAAGCAAATCGAGCGTTACGAAGAGATGGTGGAGTGCATGGAGAAGGTGGTGACCGCAGTGGAAGGCAACGAGCTCACTATGGAGGAGCGCAATCTCCTCTCGGTAGCATTCAAGAATGTGATCGGCACTCGCCGTGCCTCCTGGAGGATCACGGTAGTCATCATAAGCACCCCAATGGATGGCCAACGCCTTGTTTTCCCTCCCGCTGCAACTGCTATTCTTTGTGTACCAGTATGATCTATCCCTCAAACAAAATTCATTAGTTTTTGTACTTCTTTTTGCTTAAATTCTCTTCTGTAATGCAAATTATAGTTCTGGAAGTTGGTAAAATTCATGTCTCCACCTTCTATCCCTCCTGCTGTGTTTGGAGGTGGTCTACCGGGTTATGTAATGTAAGATGTAACCCATTACTATTTGCATATCGAACAGCCAACCAGTGTCGTACCTAGAAGTCTGAATGTAATAATTTGCTTATTTGATTGTATCAACAGCTTAAGCTGAAAGTTGCTAGCCTAAATAGTTACAGAATCTCATTCATGTAGATTACAACAATAAATACAGATATTAGAGCAACTTTAGTCAATTTAATTCAATACTATATAGTTAATAGTTGACAGGCACCACTGTACAGCAACTTGGAAGTGTGGATTTGTCTTAAAAACTTAATGATCATTTTGGAGAGATCTGACTATTTTGTTTTGCAGAAATACCATTTGAATCATCATTTCTGTATCCAGATTAAAGGTTTTGGTATAACTTCCAAAAATCTGGGACAAGGTTTTTGGAACACTAACTTCAACAATATTGTTAGTTTTAAAGATGAAAGAACAATTTGATAAATGATATTTCTTAGAGCAAAATTAAGAAAAATGGAGGAAGATATACGGGAATTGAAACTTGCATTCATAATGCATCAAGCTTACATTATATAGAAAAAATAAAAACTGAACAACAACCAAAGTGGCCATGAATCAAGCCACGACTCACTGCACGTTATAAAAAATTAACCAAATCCTACAACCTAGGAACTATAACTTGACTAATTAAAATAAATAAATAAATAAAACACGTGGGCATCAAGTAGGTAGTGATCTTGATGCAAATAATCAACACTCCTCCTTGCATTAGGAGCTGCAAACTCCAAGTCTTTGCCTAAGAAGCTCAAATTTATTTGCTAGCAGAGGTTTTGTGAAAATGTCTGCAAGCTGATCTTCAGATCTGCAATAAACCGAGCTCACATCTCCTTCCTTTTGCACTTCTCTCAAAAAGAATAGCTTAATCTTAAAATGTTTAGTTTTTCCATGAAAAACCGAATTATGAGATATTGCAATTGCAGCCTGATTGTCCACAAATACCTTCGTATCATTCAATTGTTTCAAATTTAAATCACATAACAACTTTCTCAGGCACGATGCTTGATTCACAAATACCTTCAAATTTATTTTTTGTTTTAATTTGGTGACTCGATTAGAGTTCGTTATTTTTCTAATGAAATGTTTGACGTCGCCTTGTATCTCAGACATTTTGTTAGAAACACTAACAAGTTTTGTGAGTGACAAAACTAAAAGCAAAGTCCATCAACATCAAACCTTGTTGTAAATTGATGATAGTCTATTAGCACATAAATGCGTTGTTTTATTTCATTGTTATCATGTATTGAGAATCTGATTTTAGTTTACGACAAAAGAACGTAATCCTTAAAAATTTACAATATTCATTTACAATATCTTTTAATGTAAATAGAAAATTTGTCTACGTCTGAATATGGATGGGATCTAGGTATCAATAGATATCCACCATTCTCTCTTTCAATCGTATTTTATTTGCATAATTGTACCCATTAGAAGCACAAGATTGTGGCTTATGAGGACAAAGTGGAAAGGCCTTGATCGTATACACTTCAACGCTAAAGTTGAATACCGGATAGGAAAATTGGTATGGAAAAAACACGAAAGAATGGTAAATTTAACCATGTAAGTTTTATAGTTGTTTGATAGAGATTAAAATAAAAAAAAGGACAAACAAGAAATACTTAATTTTTTTAGTTGTTTGATAGGGATTAAAATTTAAATCAAAATTAACAATCAAATTTAACCATGTATTTCATCGATATCACAAGTATTCAACCACACATTGCATTAGTTTTATCAAAAATCTAAAAAAATATGATTTTTCCCACCAAAAAAGGCTTAGCATAGAAAAGGATAAAATGAAAATTAATGCTAATAGAGAGTTTTTAATAATTAACAATTTTCTATAAATGCACCACATTTTAATTGTATTGAAATTTAAATATCTATAATATTTACTCACT